ACTCTAATATTCTCTATAAACTACAGTTCAAGTGATGACCTTTCTGCGTGCGAGATTCATCTGAAGTTGCAAGAACATCATAACATTTGAAATCAGTGAAATGACTAATGTGCTCAAGTTAAGTAGATGTCCACATTCACAAATATAAAATAGAGACTCAAGAAAGCAGATTATGAATGACAAGTACATTTCTCTTCTGACAAGCAACATTGCATTAAATTCTATGTTCTTAAAACTCACATGAATTTAGGCCTCAGCATTTAATTTCTGCAGTGTTTTCAAAGACCTTTACTTTTATGAATTGCCTTGAGTATATAATAATTTTCATGGTTGTGATCTTTCAATTTTTCCACGTAATTCCATGAAAAGGAAAGCTGTAGTTGTTTAGGTCCCAGGGGGAATACATAGCCATAGTAGAAAATACATTTTGAGTGAGTATTTTCTTTTTTTTTGCAATAGTAGTCATCTATCTTTGTATAATTAAACACGCACTATTTCAGAAAAGAAGCTGAGACTTGTCTCCCACTGCCATAAACTTTTGGTTGCTATGACTGCAGTCATAGTTATTCTTTCAAAGAATGAAAAGCTTGTCATTTCAGGATTCTGATGCAGAAAGCAAGCCTTCCAAAACGTTGCTGCTCAGGTTCAGTTTGATGTAAGTTTGAACTGCAAGGTCCTGTCCAAGCCCAGATTTAGATAATCTTTTTTTTTTTTTTTAATTATTATTATTTTATTTTATTTCTCTTTGGATATTACTCTGTTTATCACCCTGCTCCATTTCGGTGCTGGTGTTCCCTTGGGTTAATGACTAAGTGATGAAGAAAGGTGAAGTCTCTCCATATGCCAGCCACTACCATTAGTTACTCAGGAAATGTGACAACATTCCACTGTCTAGTTGGATAGCCCATGTGAATGATGTTTAATTGGATAACCAACATGGATTTAATTGGATGACCCAACATGAAACTCCAAAGTGTGCACTGTGGTAGTGCAGGATGATCACAATTACTGTAAACTGGACCAGGAATTTTAACATAACTGCTCTCAGCATTTCCTTGTGATAAGACTCAAGGTCCTTTGAAGCACAGGGAAAGATTAGATGGGAGAAGATGCCAAAATGTGGCATTTGGGGGGGGGGATCTGCCTTTTGACAGTTACGAAGTGAAACACTCTCCATCTAGTTAAAAAAATGTAACTCTCAACCTGCCAAGGGGCAGGAGCGTGGCACAACCCTCCTGAATGTGGCTGGATGCACAAACTGAGGGACACTGCAAGAAACAGCAGAAAGGAAGCTTGAAATGCTGTTGGGTGCATTTCTTTAACACAAACGAAGTTTTCCAAAACCTCAGTTTCATGATTCAGCATTTCTTTTGGCACTGAAATCAGAGTAACAATTTAAAAGTAGGCTAAACAAGGCTGAGGGAATATGCCAGTAAATTCAGGCCAGAGAGGGGGAAGTCCCTGAAAATAATAATTAAAAAAAACTAAGACCCCCTCCGCCCCCAATAATTGCAGTTTAATTCTTTTAATGAGGAATGCCTAAAAGCCCTTTACAAGCACATAATTATTATTGTATCCTCACAACACTTTCTGAGGCAGATATGATCACGCTTATTTTCTGGATGAATAAACTGACCCACTGTATTAAAATACTTTTACCAAAGCCTTCTCCAGAAACAACGGGAGACCAGGGAGTACACTCTCTACTCTAATTGTGAGACAGTAGCAACGTGTATGGAGGAAGCAACTAAATTGAAAATTATACGTGGGATAGATACTGTAGCCAACTCTTTCTTGTTTTCCTTTGTTTTAAAAGTCATAAGTTTTTGCTGCTCAACTTGAGAAACGAGTGGAGACTGTGGGGGCCCAGTACTTAAAAAAAAATGTTATCAGAAAGTTATCCCACAGCTTTTATTATTTTTTTTTAATTTTTATTTTAAAATAATATTTATATCATTTACAAATATTTTTTATATAAAATGTTTGTCAGTAAGTTGGTCACCTCAGTAAGACAATGGCTGTCGGGCAGCCAGGGGACCAGAACAGCATGTCTGGTGCACACGTGTTGAGCATCAACTTAAATTTTGAATGCTTGTGCATGTCTGCTTCTTGGGATCCAATCCCAGATTCCTTCAGGACCAGGTTTTTCTTAGAAGGGTCAGTGTCTGAAGCAGCTCCTGCTGCAAGGGAAATGGGTTACCGGACAGGGAGGTCTTGCAGGACACTTGGGCACCTGCTCTGTCCCGGAGAATTGGGAAAGCTGGGTGGAAGGAATGGGGTAAGGATGGGGTGCAACCTGAGAGGCACCCAGAGAAACCCTTCGTGTGCTGAGCTGGGGAGTTGCTGCTGCTGGGGAGCCCTGTCTGCTGCTCAGCTCTGAAGGAAGGCCTTACAAATTCACCCTTTCCTCAGCTGACCTGCTCCCTCTGCATCCCAGCAGAGAGCCAGTGGCCAACCTACGTTGCCTTCAGCCTCCCTTGGGGAGAAGAACCAGGACTAAGTTGTAGTGGGAGAGCATCCAGCTGTCATCTTCAGGTTACACACGCTGTACAAGCTACCTTTTCCCTTGTCATAATTTTAAAACCGTGGCAGAGCTAGACCTAGATCCTACCACGGTTTGGGGAAGTGCCCTCCCACTTTAGAGTATGGTCTGAATACAACACTTCAGCTATGGAGAAAAAATACTTTTCCTTGTGTTTTACTGCAACATTTTCAGAATGTACATCCTAATTACGTGGAAAGTTGCTGAAGTCAGAGAGCTAAAATCTCCATGAGCTATGACAGAAAACAACACTTTTACTTTTCAGTACTAAGATTTTTAAAAAATTAAACAATGACACTTTTCCCTGTGATTTTCATTAACTTTTGAAACTATAAGTTAATATACAAAGCGCCATTGTAAAGGTCAGAGAAACTTATTATCTCTACATCAAACTCATAATGTTTTTTTGAAGGTTATCATATCTCTTAGAAAGTCCTGATTCAAAGACTTCGTATTTACATATTTTATTCAGTTGTTTAGGTAGAAGTGGGCCAGAAACAAAACCTTAGCTCCAAACCTGCATGAATTGTGGGGACTCACGGGTTCCAACTGATGTTCCAGCTTGGTTGCTCAGTATTTGGAGGAACTTGAATTAAAGCTACAGGTCTGAGCACTCCTACTCCATACACTGTGAGTGGTCAGAGCTGCAACTGCATTTTGTTCTTATTTTTATTTAATAGGCAGCACCAAATGGCATGCATGCTTTGTGTTTGCAATACCTTGTCTCTATATCTATAAAACCCCTCTAAGCCATAAATAAAACCAAAATTGGTGAATTTCTCATGGATTGTTAACCCTGGAAAAGATGCACAAATACCTATTAAAGGGCAAGTGAATCATCATGGAATTTCCATTCCACAGTAAAAGTGGTATTTCATTTTGGCCAGGGAAGAGTTCTCCATTTCACCCTTTTTACCCTGGCTTTACTGTAGTTTATTGAAATGGCAAAATGAAACACTGTGATTTCGTTGAAATGCAACATTTATGTAATTTTGCAGTTACCTTTGAGATCAATGGACAAATTTCTATAAAATTCTTTTATTTTGTTTAGTCAGCTTTTTCCAAAAAAAGAGCATTCCCAGTGGGAAACTTTTAACGTTAAGAAGAAAGGCTTAACTCAGTGTTCATGATGGAAAGAAAGGTGATGGGGAAGTTAGTCTGTGTCCTGTTACTAACCTCTTTATATATTGTGACTTCTGTTACCGTGAAACTCCGCTTGAACCCGAGGTGCTGTAGCATGGTCTGGGCAAGTACCTTGATGTTACAGGGGCAGTCAACAACAGCATTTGATGGGGAAATGAAATTACCCATATGATCCCATACAAGGCAGGGAGAAGCTAAAGAGGGGAGAGGGTTTGGGAAGGTGCTTCCTTGAAGTAGCGATGCTCTCAGTACTCGGTTTGCCAGCTGAGGAGCAGGACAGTCAGCTGGGCAGCATGGCAAGGACTTTTCCAGGATTTGGCTGCATGGCTGTCTCAGGATTCATCACAACATGCTGAGCAAGGGCTGTTTTGCTAACATAGCTATACTGCTCTCTTTGCTCCTGCTGACTTGTCCAGAGCCCGTTGAAGCATCCTGGCATAGGCCTGGCTGGCACTTGGTAAATGTGACCTGAGGTATCACTGAGCATGTACCACATGTTGTCTTATTTTTTTCAAAATATTACCACTTAGAACGTAGCCTGCAAAGATGTTGAAAAATGAGCCTCTAAAGATGTTGAAAAGTGAGTTGAAAAATGAAAAATAAATGCACTAAAGTGAAAACATATGGCAGGTGCAAGTTATATGCAAACTTTATAGTGAATTCTGAAAATATACTTGAAGAAGGAGAACTACAAATGTTTCTAGCCTGGATGACACATATTAAGGATCACTCCTATGTGCTCCATGATATTTTCCAGGTCAAAAAGCACAGTTATGCTGGTGAACTTTCATTAATCACTCAATACTCTGTGTGCTATAATAGGCAAGAGGGTTGGTAGTGTCAAGTCATTCTCTAAATTGTGCTTAACGGTTTCAAATGAGGGATGGATGAACTGGCTGTGATAACTAAAACACTGAGCCTGACTCTACCTAAGCCCTTCAAAGCAGACATGCGTTTCAGAGATTCGTGGGCAACCAATTGTGACAATTTTTTTGCTTTTAAATATGTCTTGCTTTCCACATCTCATCAGGTGATGGCTCTGTGTGGGATTGGAAGCAAAAGGGCCAAAATTCCATTTCTTTGTTGTTTCTGGCACAGATCAGGAATTACTGCAAGATTTCCAACCTCTTTTGCCAGACCAGAGAAGTTGGGATAAGTTGACATAAGTTACAGGAACACATCTTCCACCCTGCCCCTTTTGCCCAGCGCCTTGACTGCCACAGGGCAGCACATGGCAAAAGTGATCAATGACACCTCACTTTGGTTATAACATTTATTTCTGCTTTTTTTTTTTTTTTTTTTTTTTTTCCTTCAGAGCTTTGTCATCTGTGGTGGCTTTAGGAGCTAATATCATCTGCAACAAAATCCCAGGCCTGGCCCCTCGGCAGCGAGCCATCTGCCAGAGCCGCCCTGATGCCATCATTGTGATCGGGGAAGGGGCACAAATGGGAATCAATGAGTGCCAGTACCAGTTTCGGTACGGGAGGTGGAACTGCTCTGCGTTGGGAGAGAAAACAGTCTTTGGACAAGAGCTTCGAGTAGGTAAGGGTGTCTCTAATATGGTGCCAAAGCGATAAATTGGGGGCTGGTTTTCTTTTAGCTTTCCGACTGCAGTCCCGCAAAGGTTTTTGCCTCTGGTACTTGCCTACTGGAGTTCAACAGTGATGATGCTCCCAGAAAAACTCTGGCCTGTGTGTTTCCACTCATTGAAAAGTAACTGGCAAGAGATAGGAGATCTCTAGTGATCTCTAAATGAAGTCATTCATATCTGTGCAACTTCATACCCAGTAATGACCCAGATGCTGCACAGGCATCCAAGGACAAGGTCATCACACCCTGTGAAGAAATATTTCCAATTGTCAACCTGTCAGAGGTTTCCATGATGACTGTAGGGCCAACCAAAAGGGAACTAAAATCAGGTCCAAAAAATCACTCTACAGACTTCCAAAAGCTTAAGTAATGGGAGATTCACAATTAACTGGTGAAGTACAGTGCATACAACACTGGCCTTCCAATATACAGCAGTGATACATACCCATTTTGGTGTTGCTATCATATTGTAAAGAAAATACTGCAAGTGATTTGAGGCAGGAAACCAATTCAAAGAAAACAACACAGGACAAACTGTTAGCTGGCAAAAGTTAAATTGATTGCTTTCCATTTACCCTACGATTGATGTTATTTCACAGGGGAGATTATGCAAATTTTTTCCATCACTGAGATCATTATTTTCCTCATCACCCAGCTGAGTATCCTTAGCCTATTCTTGGCCTTTTCTCTCTTCCCCAAGGGCTGCCCATTTACCATCCTCCACACTGTCTGTTGCTAAGTGTTGGGATAACATTTTGTAGTGTGTGGCTCTCACAAGGACACTCAGAATGATACCATCCAGATTCTCAGTGGGGTTGTGTCCAATTCTTCTTTGGGTGACACCTCTTTCTTTAATTCAGTGGTTCAGGTGAGTCTTCTGCCTCCAACAGAACTGAATGTGGGCAGACATAAGATCGCATTAGAACTATGTGGAAAAAAGGCATAACATTTCACCCATCTGTGCAAAAAGGAAATTACTTACATGGTGTTTTGGTTATTACTGGAGATAAAGGCTTTGGATTTTTTTCCAACACCATTGTGAAATGAATGCCAAAACCTGTACTATGCTTAAGTCAATGATGGAACTGACTTTTTTTTTGAAGAACATGCACATCTGAGCATCTGGCTTAGGTCTTAGTGTTTTAAGGGCACAATGACCCAGCTGTAAAGTGTTGTAATTGAATAAATCCATTGGCATCAGGGGAACTGACTTACACCCACAGAGAATCTGCCATATTCTGCGAGCTGAAAATATACTGAAAAGCTGGTAATGAGGAATTTCCTCATCAGTGTCTCTTCCCACATTTTTTTCTAAAATATATCTAGTTCTGTTTAGATAATACTTCTTGCCTAACTTATGCTCATCAGTGTCTCTTCCCACATTTTTCCTAAAATATATCTAATTCTGTTTAGATAATACTTCTTGCCTAACTTTTGTTTCCTAAAAAGAGTGTAAGTGGAAAGCATTAAACATTCTCAAGACACCGTACACAGGAAATAACCCAACACTTGGCCTTTACCTTCAACTTTAAATGAACCAGAAAAAAAATCTAGTCACTTGTCTTGACTATTAGAAACACATATCTGGTCCTCCTTGGTCGGTCTTGTGTTTGTTTGTCTTAAGTTCATGTCCAAAAAGATGTTGCTGCCAGAAAATATACAGCTGCCAAGCATAAGACTGTTGTACTTCATGCTATGTTGTCTCGATCTGCCAAAGCCTGCAAGCATACTCTGACTCTTAGACAAGTAAGTCCAAGATCTTAACTTCTGTGAGATCACTTACATCCTTGAAGAGGCACACTCTGGAGGCTTGTACTAGAGTTGGTGTCATCACTGAGCTTCCTGATGAAAAGGCTTTCACCACTTCTGCTTGCCTCTTCAAGCTGAGAATCTTGTGGCACCTCATCAGATCTGTCCTTGTACTCATGAATAATAATCCTCTTCACCAGAGAGACTCCTTTCATCCTCAGAAACCTTGCAAGTAAGCACAGCCCAAATGCCTAAAGAGGACTACAAGTTGAGCCTCTGCTTTCCTTCTGAACATTTCTATACAAAGTAAGAGCTACAGGGAACAAAAATTGTTCGGCATCAGGATGGACCAGCTATCAGGTTGGTCAGAGTACACAAAGTTTGAAAAAAATAGGTTTTCTTGAGCTGCTGTTCAGGCCATATTTGCCAAAATGCTCACCAGATTCTTGACCTCTTCACCGAACCTGGGTGGTTTCTTGCAACTCTGAAATGGCTGATGTGGAATTTGGTGGGTTCTTTTATGGCTTAACCCAAACACAGACGAAACTTGGCAGTTGCAGCTGAGTTCTGCTTTGACATTTGTTGGGTGCGAAACCACACAAACTCTAACGGATGGAGAAGGTTTACATGACCCCTGCCAGCTCAGCCAGATGAGTTCCATGCAGGTCTATAAAGAATCCCATAATCCACATGTCTTTATTTGTTTTATTAGTGGACTAGCACCCAGAGATGATGTGGTCAGTATCAAGGAAAAGGACAGGGTTTAGGAAGTGGTATTATTACACTAGTGAGGGGGGAAAAGGTTAAAAAAAGGATAAATCTCGAAAAAGAAAATCACTTAAAGGTACAAAACACTTGTAAGCATAAATATTCACATGTGTAGCAAAACACATCTGTGTCTGACACACAGAAACACTAAACTAGATATTTGGTTCTGCCTGAACAGACTGAAGAAAGGATTAAGACTAAAAAAGATAGGCATGTTTTTCACTTCACCTGAAAGGAAAGCTCATCTAGCTTCTTCCCAGAACCACTTAGGGAGATGAAAAATCAAGGCAAGTTATTTGGGTAATAGGGTGGAGAGGGTGAGTAAGCTATGGTAGCATGATATTAATTGCTCTCTCTGGATGGAAAAGAGAGGGCCTGATCTTTAGCCACTGGGCCAAGGCTCTATCTCTATCAGATTTATGGTTATTCTAACTTGTATCCTGCTGCAACACTACCACCTTGCCTCCCCTCCCCCAGACTCAACCAACATGAGGTTTCTCCAACAGCTATGCATCTGTGGCCAACAGCTATGCATCTGTGGCCAACAGCACCTCTTGGTTGCCATTACATTCCAACTATGCATACCTTCCAGCCACAACCAAGCAGCATTCAGAAGGCATGATACGGGAGCAAAAGTCCACCCCAGTGACTTCTGGAGATCCTACTGTACCAGGGGAATCACCAGGAAGTTAGTTAAGCTGCATGGGTCCTGAGCTATTTTTCCAAAGAGGTGCTTTGGTGAGTGAGGGCTGTACTACCTATATAACACATGGGAGTCTGTATGAAAAACAACTGAAGTTATTCAGAGGACAGACTAACAATGGTAGAATTTATGTTAGGGCACGGGGCATTCATGTTGGTGTGAAAGATTTATAGCAGCTAGAGATAAAAAGCGACCAAAAGATACAATTTAGTAGCATGAACAAAGGATGTAGCATGGGATGAAATTGCCCAGGGAGGTGGTGAAGTCCCCATCCCTGGAGGTATTTAAGAAAGGTGTAGACATGGCTCTTCAGGGCATGCTCAAGTGCCCAAGATTATTGGTTTGTGGGTGGGTGTGATGTGGTGGGGTGTTGTGTTTTTTGTTTTGTTGTTGGTGTTTTGGGTTTTGGTTTTTTTTAAGGTTGGACTCGATGATCTCAGAGATCCCTTCCAACCATGGTGATTCTGCGATTCTGTCATTCCTTGAAATAGCCCAACATAATGTATAGATTTTTTTGGTGTATTTATTTGAAATAGCCAAGCATAATGTATAGATTTTTTTGGTGTATTTATAACTGGGAACTTTTCCATAGTCATGCCATCCCCAAAGAAAGCTCACTACTACACTCATTTTACTCATCCTGTCCCTGTACGTACTTATATTTGTTACCTTCCTGCACCCATCCCTAGTTTTCATGCCAGCTTCTCACATGAAGTCTTCCTTTGCACTCTCCTCTCATTCGTCTTGCTGTGAAACTCTTTAACAAATTACCTCCTTAAAGATTACATCTTTAACAAATGGATCCACAGATTAATGGGTTAATGATATATCAATTATCAGCGGATAACCATTGATGAAAGACAATTGCCCTTTGAATTTTTTGAAGGTAAGGATGCTGATCTGGAAGAGTATAGCCTATCAGGTTATTGATACAAAAGAGATCCAGCACTAAGGACTGGTCTCTATTCCCACAAATGACAGCCGGAACATTCTGTCACGTAGGTACCTCTAAAAGTTACAGATCATTAGTAACAGTTGAAAGCAAATAACTCCAAGTAAAAATAAGCAGTACAGCCTCTGAAGAAAGGAGTAAATAATGGAAGTGAAACCTAGTGTTGTTCTTTGAAAGTCGATTATTGTAGCTAATTATTTGGGCATTGAGCACTTCTGCTGGGATTCTCCAGATTGAAGTGCTTATGAGCAGACTGCTCTTATCAGTGCTAAATTCAGGGAAAATATGAGGTGATCAAAAGTAATCTGCAGATGTCTCCTTTGTCAGACTCATGATGTGGAAAACGATCATGATTTAGTAGCATTCATTTGGCTGTATCATTGATACAGTGATTTGGCAAATCATTGAACTGGTCACCTCACAGGGAAGAATCAATAAATGGGCAAACACCAAGGGAGTTCTGAAGCTCTTTAAAAAGATGTCTGGCCTTTTCTATTGATTTGTAGATTTCTGGCATGTTGAAAGGACGCATCTGAAGTGAGGTTAAAGCCCTGTTTACTTGTGGGAGGTTTTAGAGAAGAACATCTTAAAGAGCTTCCTGTTGCCACGCATTCACTCAACTTTTGGTCCACTCTCCAGGCAGAGAGAGGGATAGGAGAGAAACTACAGTTTTAAAGACCAACAAGATCTGTGCATAGATTTTACTAACTTGCAGGTGAAGAAGACTGTACAAGTTATTTTGAGAAACACAATCAGAAAATAGAGTTGAATGTCACAGTT